CGCAAGATGACCTCACTGGCAATGTGGAACTGCAGCTTTGCGTCACTGAAAAGAGAGTTGCTCCAAATCTTGAGATCGCGAGCAGTGCGGGTCAGCTTGGTTTGCAACCTTGAGAACGCACAGCGCTGCTGAACTGGCATGTTCCAAGCCCGCTCGACGGTGGCCTGAAAATGTGGGAACTTTGGCCAGAAGGACTCAAAGCGAAAGTGGGCAGGGCGCTTAGGGGCGTCGCACGGTGCTAGGATCAGCGGGCAATGATCAGAGCATGCCGTGGCAGAGGCCATCAGCCCATAAGCGGGGAAGAGCAGCTCCCAGTTCACATTGCAAAAAAACTTATCTATGCTAACCAAGGTAGGGTTTAGCCGTTCATTACTCCACGTGAAACGTCTATTTTTGCACTTGATCTCCCGCAGGCAAGCCGAGTCGATCGCAGCTCTAAACCTACCCATAATGCGCCTATTTAAGTTGAAATTGTTTTTGTCTGTAGCTTCATAGATTATGTTGAAATCGCCTGTAAGTAGCCACGGCTCAGACAAGGGTGGCGCTGATCTAGCTAGCTCACGTAGGAAATCGTCTTTTCTACCCTCATCCGCTGGCCCGTAGACTGTGGTTAGCCAGAACGTAGTCGCCGAACGCAGGACGGTGACTTTTGCAGTGATTGCAAATTCTCCTACAGCATGGGAAACGATCGAGACGATCTGGTTATCCCAAAGAACTGCCATCCCTCCCCTGGTGCCTATCGCCAGAAGGACGATGCAGTCAGCCAGCCTCGCTCCTCCTACATCCTTGACTAGGGCCGGCGACCAAACATCAATCTTGGTTTCCTGGAGGCATAGGATTGCCGGTCGATGTGCTGTCGCCGTTTCGCACACAGCATCGCGTTTAGCTGGCATGTTCAATCCTCGCACATTCTAGCTCAGAATTGGGCAGTGATTGTCATCCATAAGGAAACCAAAACATGCTCCAACGACTACTACTACCATTGAAAAGGATCATGAAGGGAAACAACCACACACAGCCACGTTCGAGGGGATGCTGGCGCCCTCCAATAGGCCCCAAATTGCGCCAGCACCAGCTAAACCTACCTGCTAACCTGACAAAAACAGAAACAAGACCTAACTCAACCCCGCGGAAGGCCGGGTGCCATTGGAGGCTACTAACATAAGCAGAAACTAACATGATCACACTACGGCCTCATCGGCAGCTCCATCAGGTCCTGCCATGGCGGCAGCAACACGCAGCGCCTCGTGGTTGAGGCGGGTGAGCTTGGCGATGCAGGCAATGTCTTCGTCGGAGAGCGGCTCGTCGAACTTGCGCAGAAGCTTCTCAGCAGCCTTGGCGGTCATCTTCTCCTTGGAACCCAGCAGGCCCAGCTCTTGCACCAGCCTGAGGGTTCCCCGCTGCGCCACCGGCACTGGGGGCGGGTTGGCCGCCTGCCTGGCGCTGTGACGAACGGGGGGCGGCACAGTCTTGGTCTTGGGGGGGCTGACGAACGGCGCACCGGCGCAGTGGGCACTAGCGGTGGCTTTGTTCCTTGGAAGAGGCCCTGCGGTGCAGCAGCTGCGTCTGCAAATGCGGCAGCCGCGTCAAGCTGCAGGCAGCAGACCTGACGTGTGATGGCGCCGAGCTGCATTTCCACCACCGTGGGGCGGGCCGGCTCGTTGCAGCTTAGGAGGCCTACCGCAGCAGAGGGGCCCGCCAGAGTTGGGCCGAAGGCGTCCAGCAGGCCCGTGGACGCGGCATTGGCGTTGTTGACTTCTCCGTTGAATAGCAATGGCTCAGAAACGGCAGCTGCCACATGAGCCTCCAGCTCAGCGGCCACGCAGTCGAAGGGTGGTGGCGACGACAGCGTTGTCTTGGCGCCGGCGAAGAAGTCCGCAATCGGGTCGGTGGCTGGTGGCGCGTCGACAGGTGCCTGGGGGCAGGGGCCGCGGGGCTTGGAGCAGGGTTGGCCCTGCACCCCCAGCATGGCGGTGACCAGCGTTGCGGCGGCCCCTGGAGCTCTCTGAGCGGCGCAGGCACGGGGGGAGCGGCTGCGGCGGCGCGAGGAGGCCTCCGTATCCACCACCTTCTCCTTACCCGCACGGCTGCGACCCAGGAGGGTGTCTTTCCAAGACCTGCGCCCGCCCTGGTCGTCGTCTTCGTCGTCCTTGCGGCCACCTCCGCGAGCACCGCCATGGCACCCCACATCCACCAGCGTGGCGAGCTGACGACGATGCTGCGGCTCACGCTGGCCATCCTCCACGCCCTTCTTCCAGGAGGCCGCCGGGATGATGCGCGGCATCGGCCTGTCATCGTCATCCGAATCCGAGGACGGCAGGCCGCTCTGAGCAGAGCGCGACGACCGCGGCTCGTACGGGGTCCAGTCCTCGATGCGATCGACGTGGATGAGGACGTCGTGGCGGCTTGCAGACGGCGGCGCAGCGACGACGCGGCCGGGCGGCGAAAAGCCCAGCATCTCCTCCACTCTGCCCGCCCCGCTCTGCATCAGCCAGAAGGTGTGCTTGGTCGGGATGAGGCCGATGTCCCATACCCAGACCCAGCAGGCGAAACTCTTGGTGTGGCTGCGCTCGAACGTGCGGCTGTCGAGGCGGTCAACGCGACAGCCGAGCGCCTCCTCAGCCCCCTCCACAGACCAGAAGTGCTGCGGCATTTTCTCGATGACGACTCGGACGTGGTAGTTGAACGGCTGGATCACGGCATGGTCGTCTTCGTGCCAGCGCTTGATGAAGAATTTGGCGCCATCGACCGTCAGCGCGCCCAGCTTGGCCACCTGCTCCGGGTGGACCGGCAGGTCGAAGATGATGAGGTAGTCCTTCGGGTCGTGGCAGGTGATCCGCAGCTGGTGCGGCTGGATTCGCAGTCGCGCCTCCAACTCCTGGCCGACCGCCATGGCAGAGGAGGTGCGCCTGGTGTCCGCCGCCGTGAGGAGCACGGCCTGGCGCTTGAGGACGAAGACGACGTGCTCTAGGGCGGGGATGGACATGACCACCTTGCAGCTGTGGCGCGGACGGCGCGCAGGGTCGGCGACGTGGGTGCCCTCCATGGCAGGTGACAGGGGCGCGACGACGGTTGGAGGTGGAGGTACGACCGCAGCAGCAGGGAAGCCAAGCCTGTCCCGCACCCGCACCCGAGCAGAGGCCGCGGCGGGGTTGCGCTTGGGGTTCTGCGGACACTCCTGGCCAAAGTGGCCGGAGAGGTTGCAGATGATGCAGCAGATCGGGTCCCGGCAATCCTTCCTACGGTGTTTCTTGCTCAGGCAACGGAAGCACTTCCCCCTGAACTGGCTTAAGAAGGCAGCCCGGCCAGCAGACGCATTGAAAGCACCACGCCGGCCAGGGAGGGATGGAGAGGAGCGCGGCCTATTGCCCGCAGGGCCAGAGCTGGGGCGCCGGCCTTTCCGGGACGAGACAATAGTCCAACCACGGTCCGGCGCCGGGGATGGTGAACTGGCGGAGGCCGCAGGCGCAACTACTATGGATTGAAGACGCGGTCGCTCCGAAAAAAGGCAAAGAGACGTGATCCGCAGCAGGATCCGCCGGGCGGAGCAGGCCCGAGGCGATGAAGCACTCTCCACGGAGCAGGATCCGGGGCGGGGATTCGGGATCTCGCGCATTGACGTCGTGGGGCAGCTGAGAGTCCGGCACCATGGATGGACCAGTGGACGCAGGTGAGGCAGGTGTGGATCCGCGCGCGGCTACCACTAGCACTAGATCTACGGGAGCGGGGGCGACCCATGCCTCCAGCTGGAAGCCGCAGACGGGATGGGGGCGGTGGCTGCCGCGGCCGGATTGACCAGCGGCGCATAGGGGCTAGGTTGGGCAGCTCGCGGCCCTAGGGAGGTGGCCGCCGCGGCCGGAGCGGCCGGCAGCGCGGGGAGGGGAGGGGTGCTGAGGGCGTGCGGCGCGGGGGTAGCTAGATTGGCGATAGTGGTTGCGGTGGTCGACTCTTCAGGTAGTTAGGATTTATTTTATCCTTATTGCGAGAATAATTGTCATGTCGTAATTTGGGTGTATTTTGTAACAAACTGTTTCCCCTCATTATTTAATATATGAGGTAAATCTTTCGCTCCATTTAAAAGAATAAGAATAGTTGCAACACATCACTGAACAGCCTGTTGGCCCCTTTTGGAACAGAAGATGATTGCAAGTGGGCGGCTACGCCCAAGTCCTTAATACGGATATCTGATTACTTCTCACTGTAGTGTAGAAACGAGTAGCCGGGTCAACAAGAATACGTGGTATGCTTACTGCTAAGACCAAACAAAAAACGTGGAACCTGCCGTTTTCCGAAGATCGGAGTATGCAGTGGCGAGCAGACTGAAACCGCATTTACTCTTTAAACACTTTTGGCTGCAATCATCTTCTGTGCCTTTTCGGCCGGACAACCGAGTTCATCAACTGATTAAAACGGTGCCGAACCATCACGAGACAAAAATGGCAGGATTCATACGCTCGGACCAGCACAGTTCTGAACTTTTAGTAAATGAGCACCCATCACGCAAGGGCAGAAGATTGCCCGAAGTAGCTCCCTGGGGATCCCTGCCGGTCCAGAAAGGTACCTGCGTATTTTGCTCTGACAGGGCCTGAAAAGTCAGACACTAGGTTGCCGTTTTGGGGCTATGCGTACATAAAGGTGCATGCGAGTTTACCTCTTGTGTCATGCCAAAATTCAACAATTCAGAAATTTAGAACCTTATCCACCTAAAGGTGCAGATCTCAAAGCACATGAACGGTTCCGATAACAACCACCCTAGCTAATGTGGATAGCAAATCCATGCTCTATATATATATCCAGGTTGAATTAGTGTCATGATATTTTTAGTACACCATGACAATAATAAAATGGGACCTATTCAGTTATACGGTTTCAGAGCACAAACAATCCCCTCTATCACTCCATTAAAATGTACATCAGCATCAATACAAGCCCTTTCAGCATCCACCACTAAAGAATATACGAATTTGGACTACAAGCACATTGTAAACTGTCAAGCGGAGTTAGCCATATTTCAACTTTCCATGTTGCAGGGCTGATTTTTCCTGACATACGGTCATTTCATCGCCCGTCAACCCTGAGCAAGCTTGTGGTGCCCCCAAGGTCACCGCGAAGTAAAGATATATGGTGCACAGGAAGGCAAGCACCACTAGCGTTGTCAAGAGAAAGCGATGCCGCTCAACCAGGGCAGACCAACTACCAACATCATCACGAGATGATTGAGGCTTCTTAGGAGATGACAGAAAGAATGTGTTTTGCGACCTCCTGTGAGGCGATGATAATGAATCAAGAACCATGATTGACGAGCGGGCAAATTTGAATCCTGCGCAAAACAAAGAATAAGTTTAACAAGAGATACATATTTCAAGCTACTTTAAATGTTCATAAGCAAAAACAATGATTGTTTTGGGACGGAGGGGGTACATAATTCAAAACAGGTGACCCTGGGATGAAACAAAAAGTTTAAATGTTTAAATCCCTCACAATACATACCTTAATGATGTGAAACTATTATGTAACTCAACAAGAATCAAACTGACATTTTCAGAATATAAACAGAGAAATTCTTATTTTATCTGCAAATAGACCTTTGACCGGCAATAATCACACACAGGTCTAGAAAAGAAAATCCAAAGCAGCAGCAAATAGCAGTTTATCATACTAAAATATTCACTCACATGCTTAACTCTTCATAAGCATTCTACCTTGTATATTCCGTACTTCACATTTCATGATTTATTATGATACATTCATATGTTTTGCGAGTGAGACAACTTTATGAAAACCTAGTATTCCAAGCAACTTCAAGAAAAACAGATGTTCTCGGTGAAAGGAAGAATAAAAACAAATATATAACAAGAAAGAAAGCAGAACAATGAGTAGGGTTACTCAAAACAAGTGTAAAGAAAAAACATTAGTTTGTAACAAAATAAGACTTGATGTCCAAGATGCCTGTTCTTTCACAATTCCACTCGTAACTGCCAGAAATTTTCTTGAATAATTGTCACCTAGTGTACCACAACATGTTCCTTGGTAAATACATACTGAAGGACAAGGACATACCATTACTGTTCTGTAAATTCCTGGATAAAATTAAAACCTGTAGAAATATCTATGTTACATACATTGAAATACAAGTTACTGACTGAGTGTTTACAGTTTACATCAGTTGATCACAAAATGCAGCACCAAAAGCATGTATAAGTATACATTAGGCAATCTCCAGCAACATGCATCAAGTGTGATGTATTTTGGTTCATTAAGGGTGTGCTTGTTTCGGGCTTTTTCAGTGGCTTCTGTTCCTTAAGTGGTTGTTTGGATAACTAGTATTTGGAACCAGTTTTAGCTAAATCAGTTTTAGGAGTATTTTTAGGAAAACCAGTTTTAAGTTGTTGTTTTATTAAAACTAGTTTATAGAATACTTTGTTTGGGCTGTCTCTTTTGGGTCATCCTCAACCTTGAGAAAGATTCCAAGCTGTTCACATGGGAGGCACCATGCCCAGCACGTCGACCACGGCACATTCCGCAGCTCTCGACATGCCTATCACGAACATGGAGTTGGGCGTGCTTGATCACGTCATGTCCATCAAATTGCTGGCCGATGCTGGGCCTGGTGCATGCGACCGCCGGAGAACTCAGGCGCTACGTCATTGAGCTGCGTCGTGGTGGCCGTGAGCGCCGAGGAGACGGAGGCCATGACAGAGACGCACAACGTGCTGCGTGGGAAGGTGCTGCGCGCGCCGCGCGGTCGACGTGACGGAGGCTGCACTGTTCCTTGCGTCTGACCAGGCCGGGACGCCGGTGGCGACAAGCTGGTCTTCGGCGGCGTCACCACCGCCATCAACCCCACCGTGCTGCTCTCTGTCGGCCTCGTCTTCAGCTGATCTACGCGACGCAAAAGAGCGCGCGAGGTGGTGTTCTCGAGGCTGAACGGCGTGGGCACGGGACAGAGCTGGACTGCTCAAGTAGCCGCTCCTTGAGGAGGTCCCAGGCCGTCGCTTGCCCCACCTGCTGCTTCACTGACGGTAAGAATGGTGGGCTCGCCGGCGGCACCAACTTGCTGGATTTGCGCACCTCGTTGACGGATGACGGTCGAGCGAGCAGCAGCCGGGGCACTCACACCAGCACCTGGAATCGGAATGCGACCTTGCTGTACTGGACGTTGCACGCCGTCGTTTCCAGCAAAGCCATGTACATCTCGTCTCGTCACACACACAACGACCGCAGCGGCGCCGAGCACGCCCACGGTCACAGGAGAAACGCGGCCGTCGTCCTCGCTGAGGAGCAGTCAGGGCACCTGGAACGGGGCTAACCTTGCCCTAGTAGACGTACTTGAACGCTACCCACCGGCGCATGTCTCATGGAAGCTAGAGTCTGATTGAAACGAACGATAAGCTAAACTGGTTTGTAGAAAAACGAGTATTAGTCGTTTTTCCAAATACTCGTTTTCCTGGTTTATGGGAAACCAAGTTTTCCTTATCCTGAGATTTGTTGGATCAACCAAACATAGTTTTAGGCGGTTAGAATCCTGAACGCGAATAGTGGAAACAGGTTTGGCATAAATCCCGTATCCAAACAACCCCTAAAAGCTGTAGCCCAAACAACGGGCCATTTTTAGGCTGGCTCCATGCAGCCGAAAGTCGAAGCCCTCCTGAAAAAACGTCCAAAAGCCTCGGCCCATATTTCGGGCTTCTTTCAGCCGCAGCTAGCTCCAACCCCACCGCTAGGTTGGTCTTTCCCAATCTGCACCGCCGCAGCTAGCTCCAACCCCACTGCTAGGTTGGTCTTTCCCAATCTGCGCCGCCACCCGGCTCAACCTCATCAACCGGCCAGCAAATCAGAGACGCCGCCACCGCCCCGTCCACTGCCTCTGCCACCGGCCACTCCTCCTCACAGTACCGCCTCCACCCGCCCCAACCCCGGCCACTGGCCACTTGGATCACCGTCCGACGCCATGGTAACCTCCTGCGCCTCTCTCCCTCAGAGCTCTCTCTGCTCCCTCCCCCCTCGCAGAGGCGTGCGCGTGCTCTTCGTGTGTTACCTGTGTGCATGATCTTCCTGAGGCAATGTGCTCAGCCGGTTGATTGGACATAACTTCGTTCATGTTTCATCTAGTACTAGTGCTAACATTTCATTAGATTTGCTAATCGACATTGGTACTAGTGAATTGCTCTAGAATTGCAAATTGTACTGGTCTAGTGACTGCAACATTTGCAAAATGACACTGGTACTAATGAGTGCTACTGCTGTTATGATACAAGTGAGTGCTACTCAATTGTCATTTGTTTATATAAATTGGCAAAATGATAATGGCTATATAGATGGAAGAGCCCAAAGTGAAAGCTCAGTGGGATCGAGAGGCCAACATAATTTTTTGTGAGTTTGCCACTAAGCAAATACAGCTTGGGCATAGGCCAACCAGGTCCTTAACTGCCGCTGGCTATCAGGGCAAGGCAGAGTTCAAAGCACGGACCCAAAGAACCTATATAAGAAAACAGTTCAGAAATTGTTGGGATGATATGAAGGCTATATATTCAGCATGGATATTTGCAAAAACAAAGCAACTAGACTTGGATAAGATGATGTGAAGCAAACTATTACGGCACACGATGCTCAATGGGAAGCATTGGTCGCGGTTAGTTTATTTCGTACATGAATATCAGTTTTAGAAATGCCATGCTGTATAATGCTACTAACAAGTGTTAATTTTTTTTATGTGCAGATTTACAAGCCAATTAAAGCTTTCCGCAAAGGACCTCCACACAGCTTGACGGAGCTTGCGATCATGTTTGACAAGGCGAATATTGATGGACAGTCATCTGTCATGCCAGGAGTGGATGATGCAAAGGTGGCACAAACTCAAACGCAGGAAGATGTGCGTGACTTGTACAAAGAAGAGAATGATACTACTGCTCCTAGTCCCCAGTACACCCAAGCCCAGAACAACCAAATCGAAGCGTCCAACAAATGCAATTCCTTGTAGTCCATCTAAGTTCAAGAAAAATAATGTGCCAAAAGACTTAAGGAGGTTTGTTGACCATGTCATACAGGAAGACTGTGCGGGGCAAACTAGTAAGACAGCCAACGATGATGATATTCTTTGCCATTATGGAAGAGGTTGCCAAGTGTGAGGCATCCAGGACTAGTGATGAGTATAACATGGCTACAAGTTGTTTGCTAAACCATCAAACCATAGCTTCTTTTATGCAATGAAGACAAATGAAGGGAGACCGACTCAAGAGACAGTTTGATGAAAGGAAGTAGTGCATCCTGTTGACTGTCATGTATCTATGCATTTCCCTGCTTAGTTTCGAACAATTGAGAACTTGTTGAACTATGTACCTTTTGCTTGCTTAATTGAACAATTGTTGAACTATGTATTTGCTTGCTTAATTGAGCACTTTGTTCAACAATGTCATGTTACGTATGGATTGAATTATGGTATGTGGTACTGATTTTTTTTATTTGTATGTGCATAGATGAGTACAACACCTATCAATGATGGTACCATTGTTCAAGTGAGAGTGCAAGTTAAAGTGAGGTTGAATCTGACATAAAGAAGATGAAGCTTAGGAAGAAGAGACTTCATCGATATATGTATGTTGCTTTTGTTGTTACCACACACAATGAGAAGTATCTAATGAAGAAAGAAAGGACAGAGGTAAGATGCACTAGACAAGAGTGGTCTATGATTGCTTGGGGTCCTCCAGAGATTGCTACAAGATGTTTCGTATGCACAGACCTTCTTTTGACTTATTACATGAGACTCTGGTACGTGACTATGGGTTACGAGCAGCATGCAACATGTGTTCTGAGGAGGCTCTAGGGATATTCTTGTGGACTGTTGACAGCCCACAGTCAGTGAGTGAAGTCCAGAACCGATTCAAGAGGTTCACTGAAACAGTTCACAGAAAATTCAACCATGTGTTTAAGTGTTTGGTTTTATTTGCTGCGGACATCATTAGACCCATTGATCCCCAAATCAGAAATGTGCAGGAGAGACTTCAAGACCATAAGTTCTTTCCTCACTTCAATGGTTGCATTGGTGTCATCAATGGAACGCACATCCCTGTCACTGTGCCAGCTAAAAACATGATCAACCATTTTGGTCGACATGGTTATTCATCACAAAATGTGATGGTTGTACTCCCTCAATCCGAATTAATTGATGCAGCCGATCGGAGGGAGTATGTGACTTCAACATGAGATACATTTCTGCAGTGGCTGGATGGCCTGGTTCGGCACATGACACACGGGTATTCAAGTAGACATTTGACAAGCACAAAGAAAGGTTCCC